TTATGTGCACATGTATATATTCATAAGCTCTATGGAGCGAAGATATACGGACAAACTAGCAGTATATGATATATCCATAGACAACCGGGGGTCCATCAATGTGTGTGTGTGTGTGTTGTCTCTTGCACTGGTTACCTTAGTGTTTGGGTTTCCATGTGGAGCAGAACCTTTTTTATTCATTTTGAATGGACAGAAACATCTTCTTTTTTTACAAACTGGCTTTCATTCAATGGTACGGTCACTCCATACCTGTCTGGTGGTGATATCCAAGAAGATGGTAAGTCTAAAATGGACATGGCACCTGCGTCTTGAGAGGGATATCTGAAGCCTAAAACTAAGTTAAATCTCCTCTCTCTTTGTCAAATGATGTCAACAGGATACGAACATTTGGGTAGTGTGATGTGCAGTAACAAACATAGCTGAGGGGGACATGAGAGACCGTTTTTCAAAGCAAACATGCTTCAAGTTGAAGGGGCGCATCATTTGACATAAGCAGATGAATTCACCTGAGAGTGGAGTCTATTCAACCTGTAAAAATAGGAGGAAGCTTTTTTAAATTCTGATAAAAGAACCCTGATGATTTCATCAGTTTCCTCAGATTGGACTTGAAACATCACATTTCTAACAGAAACCCTGTTTGGTGAATTTAGGATTTGGAAAGAAAAGAGCATTTAATAGGCAGGAAGGATCTGACGCCGATAAACTAAAGAGGCCATTAACATGCAGTATGGGAAATATAGGATCCGGTGTTTTTCAACCTTGACTCGTACTAAAAATAAAAATGAAGATATGTAAGCCTCTGTTACTTTTATTTGAAGCATTCTTTTTAAAACGTGTCTCCAAACTGTGATAGACTGCAGAATTTAAAGGCTGGAATACAACTTTAAGGCTTCATTGCAACTCTAACTTCGCGCAGAGTCTCAAAGGTCCATGAGATTTACAATAAGAATTTCATCATCTGCCTAAATCTGTGAAGATCTGCCAAAAAAACGTGTAATCACTATTCCTATGCAGACGCTCAATGTAATATAACCATCCACTTTCAGGAGTATGTCCAGCCCCTTAACGACAATGTGTTTAAATCACCATTAACATACACATTAGAGAAGGTGAAAATAACAATCATTTTACATTCTTTAGTTTTTTTTAAAGAGAAAAGTTTTATTTTCTTTAGGCCAAATGACCATTGAAAGAAAATCCTTTTAGGAAAATCACAATTCACCTGTGATGGTCCCTACTGGCTTACACATCAGAAATGTATCAAAAGTAAAATAGTTTACCAAATAATAAAATGTTTGAACCATATGTCATGTGTACTGTAGCTCAGATCGGCTAATGCACCTCAGAAACAACAAACAACTGGATAAAACAGAATAACCCGTCTTGTGTTTTTTCCAGTTGCAAAGCATTGGCCATCAATACTGTATATTCTGTACACCCTTATATAAGAAGAACTGTATTGTATCTACATATTAATACAAGCTCTGAACTCCTTGTACATATATTAAATGTGGAGTAATTCTTCTTTGTAAGCTTAGGTGGGACCACAATCATATGTCATCATGGCAGCTTCATTGTTTCAGGATCATTTGCCATCTCATGTTGTACATTTTTCAGCCCTTTGTTTTACTGAAGTATTTGGTTTACTTTTATGTTGTTTTTTTTAAGGGGGTTAGTGCTGAAGACGAAAACTAGAATGAATAAGCACATTACTGTACTGGTGTGATGACTGGTTTGACATTCATACAGTATGGTACTCACATGTCACTGAAGATTGAACACATTTTGATTGTACTGAACTCTCAGACCTTGATTACATTTTTATTCATCGGAAGAAATGTCCATAACTGTGAAGAAGAAGCCCCTCATGAATATTTTTAGTGCCTGGATTTTACCGCAACCAATTCAGCATGTTTTATTCATTTAACAGTTGTCATGAATATGATTTGACATGGTGTTACTAACTGAAAAACATGACTGATAGTCACACTATGCACACCATCCTGTGTGTGTGCTGTTGACTTGTGTCACTCCTCCATGTTGAGGATTTTGGGACAACTGATGGGTGGATTCGTTACTAAACATGCATGATAAGCTGTAAAGAGAGATGAAGTGAAAACCTGTAACTCAGTACTAGCATGAGAACGTGTTCCCTGCCTACAGCTGGTCAAATGCAAGACACCTCAACAGGTATTGGACAGATTGCCTTTGAATAAAGAATGTTTGTTCTCCAGAAAATAAGGTTGTTTGAGGCCTGACATTTCATCTAATATTTTGTTTGGTTTGATCTTCAGCAAATCTTGAAATGTAATGAACTCCTTTAAACTAGAGGCCATACTCTGTTCACTTCATGAGCTTTCCTCTAGTGCCACTACCAGTCACAATGTCATCTATGCAGCCAAAATACAGTTTCTCATCATTCAAATATGAGATATAAATATCAGCAAAAGTGGATTTAATGACCATTCCTCTAAACAAATCACCACTATGTTTGTTCTATGCTACACTTTCACATTGTTCTTCGATTGGAGCAACTTCCTGTCGGCATTTCCTGAAAAAAGACATTTGAAAAACGACCCGTTGTTGCTTTTTATCCCATGTCATGAGAAATCCTCTATATTGTATAGGCCACTATGATTTACACATTACATTCGTCCCTCAACTTCAAGTTTTAAGTTGTCCAGAGAAAAAAAAATGTATTCATGAGTTTTTCTATTTTTATCCGGTTAAACGTCTGTCCGCAGAATAAAGAGTGCCGTGTTATGATTTGCTTCGTTCAAGCTTTCTTGAGACAGCAGCTTTGTATGTTTGGTGTGTGTCTGTGCTCACAAGAGAAAATGAAACTGCACGGTGTGTACAGTATGTGCTGTGTTTTCTCATTTCAAAACTGACATGCTTTGATGGATGTCAATGCATCTGGCCATTGACGCTGCTTGGTAAACCCATAGATTTGGTATTATAGGGATGATAGATCGGGCTTTAAATAACACATGCCTGTAGATTCACACATTTAGCCAAAATATAGGAGGACCTCATCCTACAGCTGTCTGTTGTGATAAATAGGAACTCTCTTACACTAACTTTAAAGTCTACTTGCTTCTCTTGACTGTGATTAATATCAACTGAGTGTTGATTCTTCTGCTCAACGAACGTTAATCCTTTCCAGCTGATGTTATACATCTAGTTTCACAGCACCATTTCACATTAAGTCGTGTTTATTTTCATTTTCAGCTCAAGATAACACTAAAACAATTTAAATATCAACTTATGATATGAGTATTCTTCTGTAAAAGTCCATATTTAGCCCCCTGAGCAATGAGCACTATTTTTCCTGAATAAATGGAGCTGGATGCACCAACACAACAGCCTTTGATGCAGCAGTGCTTCCCTTTATGAACTCCTTCAGTACAGTATGTCCATGGTGGCACAGTACTGTAAATGTGTACAACAAGCTGTGCTCTTTCAGAGGCTTTCAGTGCATGCCGCAACATCAGGCCATTACGTAAGCAGATGGTATACAGTGTTTAAGTCAAAACTCATATTTCTTATTTCGATACCAACATTTACCATTCAGTTTTTTCAACAAACTTAAAGAACATAGATGGTATTTATTCTACGTGATTTAGTATGTCAGGTGTGTATGTACAATATTAATAGTTAATGGTTCGTCATTTTAGAAACACCAGGGTACATTTCAGTGTATGGGCAACAAACGCTTGAGTGCCCCACAGATAATGTTTTGTTTACCCAGACTCACCTGCGATCACGGGGAACAGATATACTGTAGCATTTAACTGCGTATGCTCCTCAAACACAGCTTGACCTCCCACTGCACCATCTGTAACAAGGACAGAGATGGAAATGTTGAATTTCATAACCGTGCCGACTGCAGACTTGTATCAATTATGACCCCAGTGGGCAGCCTGCTGGAGCACTGCTCTGTGTGATTTGATTACCAGGCCCTTCAGGACAGTGTGACAATGCATGGACCATTAATTAAACCTACAGAGAGACATCATGTGGCCTTTGGCAGGGGGGGGAAGTGGATGTGTACGGACTGCAATCTATCCCAGTGTTTGTACAGTTTTAATTGTGTCAATTGATTACTTCCTGTGAGCTGAGCCCGCAGTCCTTCATGTGAGCTGAGCCACAGGTGCAGTCAGGTTGCTCCAATAGTTTTGTTCCACGTCTTGGGTGTGAACTTTTTTGAAATTCAGAAAAACCTGCAATGCAGTGTGATCTAAGTTTGAACAGAATTATATAATCCAACCGACAGTAAGACGACTTTCACCGCTGGGTCGTACTTTTATATATCAGTCGACATCTTGTTCTTAAACATGATCTTAGTTCCAGTATCACCTGCAGTTTACAGTGTACTTATCACTAAATGTAAAAAAAAAAATCTGATACCAAGTGAGCTGTGTGATGATATGTTAGGTTCCATTCTCTCTGTTATTCAAGTATTAATGATGGGGAGAATAATAGATCCGTTTTCTTTTTTATAAAGGGGGCGGGGGTGGGGGCTTGTTGAAATAGGCCTCCTCAAACCAAACAAGGCTGCAAAACTTTCACATTTTCCGAAATTGGTCGAGGATGTCTAATCATTTTTTTAAAAATAAATCTTTAGTTAGAACTCCAATGTATAGTTATTATGATAAACGAATCACAGGAATAACGTTACATTCAAATCAAGTAAATTAGTCAACTAGGAGGCCTAATTTTCAACAAACAAAAACATTATTTGTAATAAGATTAATAAAAGTGGTTAAACAGATATTGGCTGTGTGGCCTCGGGCCCTCAGTGTCCATGTCCTCTGCACTGGTGTTAGATAATGCTGAAGCCACTCACGGCTCCCGGCGCTTCACTCATCCAGACGGACAGATTATGTGTGCAGTGAGGGGCGGGCAGGGAGGGGGTGGGGGGGGGGCAGGTCTCACATTGAGCGCACTTAAAGCTCCTGACAAAGCAGAGTTCAGACCTGAAGCTCCCGCGTGCAGGCTGAGAGCTCGGAGCTGTCCTCGGTGCTGAACATCTGCTGCTGGATCGACATCTTCATCATCTTCATCACTCCGTGTTTTTCATTACACGTCCTCACCTGCGGCAACAGGAAGTAAGTTCTCTAATCTGATCGTTCTCCAGTTTGACATTGTGTGAACTTCTGTTATTGTCATGCGAGGATTACTTTATGAATCACGTGTTTACAAGTTTGCAGGGTATAACTTTGTGCTGTTGTGTAACTTCGTGTCACATTTAATTGGAATATTGTTATCATCGGTGGTTCGCCCTGCTGTGAAAAATCATTGGACTTTTTAAAGTAATAATATTTATTTTTTACAAAGGGACAAGTGTCCTGCTTGAATGTCAAACAATTGAAACATCGTGATAAAACAAGGAATGTTAATTTCAAACTACTCTCCAAACCATTGAGCTTTCTTGCATTGATTGATAAAGGACCAACATGTTCAATTAGGTAAAAAAGCAAGTCTTCACAATATAAAGGAACATTATTCCCTGCATGGTGTTTATCTTATTAAATCCAGGCTGAAGACTTTTCTTTTTGCCGCTGCTTTTAATTAATTGAACAATTCATATCTTAAACTGGACTGTAACTTTTATTCATGTATTTTTTCTTTTAATGTTTATTTTATTATCTTTTTAATGACTGTTTTTAAATGCCATTTTCTTAATGTCTTTCATTTTGTAAAGCACTTTGAATTGCCTTGTGTTGAAAGGTGCTATATAAATAAACTTGCCTTGCCTTGCCTTGCCTTGCCTTATGTCCTACAAAAATACAATTTAGTAGCTTTAAGTTTCAGTTATTATTTAAAAATAGATAAACAAAATAATCTACTTCTTACTTTGTTTGAACAGCAGTTAGACAGTAGTTTAAAATGTCTGAATTTAAATCTATGAACTGATTTATGTTGTGAAAATAGATTTTGAACAGAAGCTGTTTGATAAACATCAAACTACACAAAGTCTTTTTTCTGTGATATAGCCTGAGATAGCTACCAGCGGGGATTAGAAAAAGGTAATAACAGTTTGTTTCACGAGGCCATTCATAACATTTCTTATATCATATGATCAAAACAACAGAGAACAGAGAGCTCCTGGCTTCACAGATTTGTTCAGCCTGGCAGTCCTTCATTCGGGGTTGGCAGCATCATTTTACCCTTTTTATTTAAAGAAGTCCTTGACATTTTCAAAGCTGCTGTCATAATCCACAGGTATAAATGGGAGGAATTACCGGTATTAGAGCCCGCGGGACGACCATATGTCGCTGCATGGGCTCTGTCCACAGAATTCATTGGCATGGCTGTGTTCTTATATCTACCTTCTACTCTATTTTATTGACGTTTTTACATGTAAACTAACATTTTTCTTTCAATCAGGGGTCCAGAATAGCTAAAAGACGTTTTTTTCCTGTATCAAATGTGGTCATTCACCACAGTGTGATTTATCTGCTGCTTAGGAACCACAGCATGTCTCTGAATGAGGATCGATGAGGCATGAAATTGATGTTGTCCATTATTTTATGTTCTTTAAAGCTGTATTTGTTTTTCTCCTCCATGTGACGGGGTTTCCATCCTCTAAGGTGTTTGTATAACACGATGACCTTGGGTAACCTGCAGAGACCTTTTAAAACCCCATCTTTAAATGGACCCAGATATCTGCTGAGCTTGCTTGTGAATAAGAACAACTTTGCAAGTTTGTGGTAGAAAAAGAACCGGTTTTGTTTTGACTTCCTGACTTGTGAAACAGCTGGGTCATGAGATAAAAAGTGTCGGATGGTACTGAATTAATGTAACCCTCCCTACTATATATTCTGCCAATGTGGCATAAAGTCAACTGTCAAGTAGAGTTGCAGTGAGTAGCAAAAATGTGTCTCCTGTTGTGTTACTCTATGTATAAGTATATATTTTAATATTTTGTTTTTAAAGGATCTAAGAGGAAAAATAACTTAATAATCCAGTCTTATTTTCTTTCATGTTTTCTGGCAGATGATAAAAAGCAGTCACATTATAATTCTATCTGTGAAAGCAAGGTTCTGCAGTTATAGAAGTAGTTAAACAACACCTCATTACTGCACTACTATGTTCCCAGGTTTCATTAGCAGTGTTTTTCTGAGTGCTTTCCCCATACTGACTCTGACTAATGTGTTGTCCCGTGTAAACTTCATGCCTACTTCATGACTCTCTATTGACTACTGAGTCTTGTTCATTTAGCTTCCTTTTGTACACGAAGATGTCTGAACTGTCCGGCCCTCAAGCCATTTGATAATTGATACTGAGGCAGGCAGTTTCTTTCATTACGTCTTTAAGGCCCCTATTAAAGCTTTGCTTGGCCCTTATGTTCCATCATCCGGAGAGCAGGGGAGCCATCAACGTGTCTTTGCGAGGATCAGCGGGGCGGTGAGCGGGGAGAAGAAGCCTCCTGGAATAGAATCTGCTGACTGGGTAGTGCACCTACTGCAGGAGACGTCTCTCCACTGCACGGCCCATTAAAGAGCCCAGGGAGTGTTGCTGTGCAGGAGTGCAGAAATTCTCTGAGGGTTTCCTCCACATTATTTCATCAGTGTCTGATTTATTTATGTTGCACTAAGCAGTACCTGAGTTCAGGAGAGTTGTGCTGCTGCAGCCTTGTCTCAGTCATTTTTTAAACGAGAATGATTATACGGTCAGACAGGAAGTGAAATAACTGCTTAAAAGTGAGACTGTTGCTGCTAGGTCTGGGTAAAGTGAAAACCCCTTATTCTGGGCGCTGAAAAGAAACTAACAATCTATAATCCTTGACATGCTTCAAGGCCCCTGTCAAGATCTGAACCCCCTGAATCAATCAGTCTTTTCCCTCCGTTAAGCACTTCTCGACGCTGAAAACTCACTCACTCACGTTGCGTCTTATCTCTGTTTTCTTTCTCTTCAGGTATCTCCGTGAGTGAATCCCCAAATGAAGAAGTTCCTGGAGACGCAAGACATTAAGATAGAAGCTCTTTCAGTAAATCAACAACTTGCTGCAACACAGCCAAACCGTTTGAAGTGATTAAACAAGAAAACGCTCTCTGAAGCACCACAAAGCGGATCATTTACAGCCTGCGAGCGCTTTGATTGATCTATGGAACATCTGCAGCCGCTCCATTTGTAATCACAATATATGCACCTCTAAGGCTGCTATTGGAAGACATTACAAATATTGTCAAATAAACTGAGGACCTCGCAGATGATTTGAGTTGAACAGTAACCTCTGCTTCTCTTGGGAGGAACAGACAGGACCAGTAAATCTAATTAGACCTCAGTGGGCATGCCTCAGCTTGCTGCTCGGCTCATCAGGGGGCTTATTCGTTTGCACTACTGATTTGCCGAGTGTTATCTCGACTGGAACAGTTTCTCCGCCCTCTGGTTTGTGGGAAACTCTGCGGTTAACCTCTGTCAGATTTCACAATGTGATCGCCCTCTGGGTATAGAAATCACGAAGATGACCCTGCAAAGCCATGCTGCTCCTCATAGCTTCTGACCGCAAAATAACACAGTGAACGATTTAAACCTTCGAAGCATTACCTTACTTTCAAGATGAGCGACTCAAACTACTGGGTGGTGGACTATGAGATCACGTCTCCTGCTCCGCCCGGGTTCCCCAGGGGCCCCACGGTGCCGCAGCCCATGCCGGGGCACCCCGAGCAGGGGTCGGCCCTGTGCTTCGTCGGCCTCCTGGTGCTGCTGCTGCTCTTTCTCGTTGTTCGTTGCATCCGTATCCTATTGGACCCCTACAGCAGCATGCCCTCCTCCTCGTGGACGGACCACAAGGAGGGAATGGACAGAGGACAGTTTGATTACGCACTGGTGTGAAGATGATCGGAAGATGGAGGAGAGGGATGAATTTGGAGATATGTAAAGGTACTTTAAAGTGATTTTTGATGGATGATAATCGTTTTGCACCCTGCTAAAAACCTCCGCTTCTGAAAATGAATAAACTCCGGTTTGTTTGTTGTGTGATTGAGGAACTATAATGGAAGCTGAAAAGATGAGCATAACAAACCCTTGAAGCCCCAGTATCTCTGGAAGTATTATGTTCAGAGAGAAGAAGAGCAGACACACCAAAGGTCCTGCATTCATTTTCATTCATTCATTTTGTGTATTGTGTTACACTGAAGCTTTTACAGTACCACACCCTGCAGGAAGAGAGCGATCAGTATCGCCGTATTACATTATGACTCCCATTTGTCATGTCATTCTTTAATTCTATAATGTTTTTACAAATCCCAGGGCTGCATGATAAACAGCGAAAGAGGTCCTGATTGAATAAAAGAGATACAATGAGTTTAGTGCAGACATTTCATTTGTTTTGACATAAGTAATGCCCACTGTTACAGACAATTTAGAGCAATATAGGCAGGCAATTTTATATGTGGATTAACTGTCCAAATGTAAACATGACAATTAAGAAGATGTCATAGTTTTTCTGGAACTTGAAACCTCTTTTATGTATTTCTAAATGTGAACCATGCTAGAAATTGTGAGGCATTTGAACCACCTCCAACATGAAAATGATTTATAATTATCAAATGCTTCTATAATCTGAAGGAAAAGCTTAAATCACTTCTTGAAATGTAGCTTTGGGTATTTGTGTCTCTCTATGTTATTTAAAATGCACTGTGTCCTAAATTCCGATCATATCCTATTATAAAAGCTGATGGTAATAATACATAACAGTTCATACAAAATATTTTATTTGGGGTTTTGCTCCTTCCTGTTCCCATCCCTTTAAGAAGCTTATGAGGCACATTGCGGAGGGTCACAGCGCTGACTCACTATGTGTCATATAAAGTTATGATTAAGAAATGCATGTACACCAATTTCCAACCCCTAATCCTTTTTTTGCCTTTAGTCCCATCCACCAGCCAAATCTGTTGCACAGTGCCTGTAGGAATATGAGAAAGCTAATAACTATTTATTACTATTGTTACTGCTCCTCTTGCCACTTGTTTCGTTATATTGTTTATTCCCTTGTTATACTGTAAAGTCTTCTCTTTATAAATAAAGTTTAGTATTGATATTTTACGGATTTGTCAAAAAAAAAGATTTGTTTTATTATTTATGACCAAATGACTGTTAATCAATACCAAACTTTTGTATGTGGTCCCTCTTCCTGGATGTAGACTCTGGTAAAGAGGACAGGTTTTCCTTGTGTTTCTTTATAGTGGAATTTAGTTTTTGAAGGAAATAAAAAGCTTTTGTCTCGTCTTGCATTTTAGTAGGTTTCATCACTTTAAAGCCATACCGCACACACACAAACAGCTTAATACACAAACGTTTACTTACCCACACGCTGTCCACGCTGCTGCCCTGCAATCAATAAAAGCAAGATTTAGAGCAAATTAAATCAATTGAATAATCAATTGGAGGCTCGTAAAGAGACACAGTCGGTTAATTTATGCGGATGCCCCCTCACAAACCCCAACCCTCATCACTGCACTATTTGGATAAGAGTTACATAAGAGCAAATCAGTGGTAACATGTATCGAAACAGTGTCACAATAAATAAAATAGCAAAAGGATAAAGGTGAGAATTTTAGATAGTGCTTCTCCTTCCTAATCATTGGTGTAAAAAGTCAGATGTTTCACTTGTTACAGTTTTAAAGTGCATTCCCTGAATGCATCTTCAATTGGGTTCCAGCAGGAGTCCCCCATATTTCCTTTTTTGGCTTTATCCTTTGTGGTGTATATGCCTGGTCAACACACTCTCACTCCCTAAGCGTCCAGGAGCGACGCTTGGTCAGGGTCCCGTGGCGTTGGCCTGGTCTATGCTTCACTTTGTGGGAACTCACTTAGTTGAGGAGGTCTGACCTCTTCCGAATATTTTGAGAACTACAAGTGTGAGTCGATCGGACATTGCTCAAAATTGCTTCTCAATGAGGAACATTTATTTTTGAATGATTTTGAATCTATGTTTTCGGGTGTGTGGGTTTTAGAAAAGTTAAGTACGCCTGGTAATAGAGGTGTAAGCACATACATTGTATTAAAAAAGATCAGTGTCAAAATAAGTGCACACTGCATAAACAACTTTCAAAACTGAGTAGCTGACTGATGAATGATGAACTGCATATGAAGATAACAGTCCCACAGAGCATTCCTGCAAGATTTGATCTGATATTGTTGAATCGTTTTACTTATAAAGAGAAACAACATCTGAGGGTATTGTCATTAAATGTGGTAAATACATTAATGCAATTGTTATGAATTCACCTCTAGCTCAATCATCAGGGCCCAGGAGTTCAACACTTTTAATCTCAATCAGATCCGATCAGATTTTGAAATCCCATTTTTTGTGATCCAGGATCAGACAAGTCGGCCAGATTTTGTCCCTGTAGTTCAAAGCAATTCAGGATAGGATCACCCTGATCCAGATTACGACTTTTCAAGATTACTAGATCCTGAATATCAGTGCTTTAATCCTACCGATCGCCATCTAGTGGATATGAAAAATAATACAAGGAAGACAAGAGACCACATTGTATTGTCCGCAATTACTTTTGAAAGGTGATGACAGATGATGGACTTTTTTTTGGTTGAAGATATTTTTTCTTTAATCTAAATTACATTTGTGATTGACAATCTTTGTTGTGATACTTTTATGAGCATAAACATTTATGTCATCAACATTTGGTTGAAAACAAAATAGGCCACCACAAACGTGAGCAAAAATGTATTTCCCATGAAGGCTAAAAATTGTGTATTATTTCAGTTAACAAACTTTGCCATCTTATTTAAATTGAAACATATTTTTAAATAAATTGTACAGTACATTTTGCTCTGGTAATCCACTGGAAATCCACCCCTCTGGTGGGATCAGGATAATCCAGTTTTTTGGGATCAAACTGATCCCAATCCTGTGTTGTCGATTTGAACTACCCGTTTTGAAGATTTTATCCAGATTAAAGCTTGGATTAGATTTCCTGATCTGATCGGATATCAAAGTGATCCTAATCCTGTTTTTTGGTTTTGAACTACCCAAAATCCAAATCTGATCTGATCAGATAGGGATTAAAAGTTTTGAACTCCTGGGCCCAGGTCATTATGTGCATTTTTCCAGCTTTATTCTGTGTGACTGGTGAAGCCACACACACAGAATAGTATTCAACATACTTATCTTATCTTATTCTCCTTCTTCCGTCACAAATGTTGTCACGCTACTCGTCTGGCAGTGTTGACACGACACACATAAAAAACGATTTCTCTGAATTTTCTAGTTACTAAATACTTGCAAAGTTATAACGTTCCCATGGGCTTCAGGGTTTCTCTGTGTTTAGTGTAAATACGCAAAGCGTAAATAACGTTGTTATGTTTAACGCTGAGCAAGGTAAAGTGTACCTAAATATCAGCGTGTTAGCATGTTCACTGTTTACATGATAGCAATTAGACAGGGCCAATTATCTGAAGTCATTAAGCATGCTCAAACAATGCATATCAAAGCTTGAAGATGCTGATAAAGCAGCCAGACTAGCTGGACCCTTTTTCAGTTTACAGTTCATCAGCCTTCTACAGATAGTTGGAAGCGCACTGAGTGTAACACCCCCAACTCATTAGTGCCGCAATTAACGGGAGAGATTTTGCTTCAGTGGAGCCTTACAATTTACATCATTGATAAAACAACAAAGGCACTCAGTTCCTATCACCCGCTCTCATATACACAAACCTGACCATGTGCAGCACACCGATATGCAAAACTAAATCACAGAAAATAAACAGAATTTTTGTAAAATTACAAGATATATAACATCCTTTGTGCTTAATAAATGTTGAGTAAAATGTAACTTATTGTGATGTTGGGTGTTGCAGATTCAGTTGATTGGATTACCTCTCGCTCTCTTATATTTTGACATGCAAACATTAGACACCTGTGTCGAAGTTAATGGAAACACAGAGAGGTGCAAAACAATATGGAAATACCTTCCTGAATCGGCAAAGGTCATTTTAAGGGTAGTTGGGATCCCCCACCTAACCCCCCCCACCCACCCCCCACACGTTAAGCACAACCCACATCCATACACATACAAATCATGTTATTATGGTGGAATACGTACACAAACTCTCTAACTCTGTGTGCTGCAGTCTCTCCCAGTAAGTCCACCTTTTTACAAACCTGACGTAAACATGACTGAATAACAAACACAATGCTTTACTCAAAACACAACTGTTGTTCTGACTGACAGAAAACGATAGCTACATAACTGGTGATGTTATCAGCAGACACCCTGCTAATCTCCCTCCATGTCAACACTATCTGCTGAGTGTTAGTATAAATGGAAGAGGAGGACTAGAGACTGGAGATTAGAAAGCATTCTTTGAAGGTCCTCCATATAATGTAACCAGAAATGTAGGAAGTAAATGAGGAAATGACACGTTTTTAAATTCAGTTGTGAGATTCACTAAATCCTTTTTATATTCCTTGTTAGTATTTTCTTTATACATAGAGATAATTAAATATATGAGTTATCTTCAAAAACTATCACAAAACTGAGAGTATAAAATATTTATAATAATAATAAATGTTAATCACTTGTGAAAATCTGTTTCCCCCTGGGATAGGTTTACCAGTATTTGTTACCATCTCAACGTTCTTCCTCTTTGCTTATCACACAGAATAGTAAGCCAATGACAAACAAGAGGAAGCACATGCTTAAAATGTTCATTTGAGAAATGTAAAACCTTTTAGTATTGATCCTAATCCAAATTAAAACTTGCCAATGTTTGAGCCTTCTCAAACTAACCTGTGTCGGCTGTCTGCTCCTCTGGGAGTAAAACACCTCGAGCTTTGGGGAAGGGGCAGCAGTCACTTGAAGCCTTTTTTTTACCCCCAAACATCTGCCCATGTGGGGCAAGAAACCTTGATAAAGCCAAAGACAGCTTTAATTAATAATGATCCACCGGTAATAGTCACTGACGGACAGTCCTGACAAAGCCAAAGGGTTTATAATTAGGTTGTAAACACTTTATTAATCATTAAGAACCATTTATAAACCAGTTCTAACATAGTTTTCATACATCAACACAGGCTCACTATTTGGCAAGATGACTAAGCCTTATATTGGCTACTTAGCGAGAATCAACTCGGTGAGCAACAGATACCAAGGATGCTGGCTGATGAAGAAGACGAAGTAAGCTAAGTAGCCAATATAAGGCTTAGCAGTACAGATAAATGTGGGCTTACTATTTGGCAAGCAACCGGTCACAGTTGCCCTGTTTATCTCATGTCTTGTAAAAGCTTATTAATGTGTGTGTGTATTAATGTAACTTAGTAAAGTGTTCACAACCTAATTAATAAATGAATTACAAACTATTCATAAACCCTTTATAAGGGTAGTCTTATTGTAAAGTGGTACCAATATATGACAGGGGCTGTCTAGATTAGTATGAATGCTAAACAAATATAGATATCATAATGTGAACAAATCAAAAATGACATGAACATTATATATAATAAAAAACATAATAGAGTTTATATGAGATAACAGAATACAGCGAAATAAAATAGCAGTGTAAACAAATAGAAATGTGATTTTTTAATTGGGTTTAACAAGCACTCTCTTCACTGAATGTTACAACAGTTAATACTCTGAGGATGTCATCAACCAATCAAAACCCCTGAAGACTATACCTGTGTGTGTGTGTGTGTGTGTGTGTGTGTGTGTGTGTGTGTGTGTGTGTGTGTGTGTGTGTGTGTGTGTGTGTGTGTGTGTGTGTGAGACAATCATGTGAATGTATGTGTGTGTTAAGGGAGTGTGTCTCATTATAGTTTGTATTCAAGTAGTCAAATAAAAAGCCCAACATGAAATATTCAATAAGAGCAGAATTCGTGTGCCCGTCCCCGAGGCTATGCACACAATTGTATGTTTACCTTCAAACGGTGAAGTCCTGGAAGAGTCCTGGTTTGCTGCTATTAGTGTCATCAGCTGCTTTCTTTCTCCCAGGACAGGTCTATCATGAGCATGACCTATAAGGGCGTATAAGGAAACGGAATGAGATATACTTGGTATTTACCTAAACTTGTGTCAAGCATTTTTTATAACAGAGTACAACTTCGTGTGGAATATACGGAAATGTAATCGGATATTATAACCAAGTTGTACTACATTTATGGCCCGTGGACCATTTTGAAAATGTGGACCACAATGAAAATAAATAGTTTTCCAATGGGAATTTTCTTTAGTACTTTAAATG